GGGAGAGAGGGAGAGAGGGAGAGAGGGAGAGCTCACAGCATATCCTTTAGTAGTTTATAAGCGTCAGGGTCCTGTGTTCAAGCGCACGTGTGGGAGGGAGCAGGAGGGAGGCAAGAAAGTAGCAGAAAGTGAGGCTGGCAGGCGGCGGCAAAGGAGCCGGCGAGCGGCGGCGGCAGGAAGTCTGTGCCCGAGACAAGCAGAAATAAGAGCCAGGGAGGTACCGCGGCGGCGGCGGCGGCGAGAGCGAAAGAGGAAACTGCAGAGGAGGAAGCTGCCGCAGCCCCGCGCCGCCAGGCTCCGCGCCCCGCAGCCCCGCGCCCGCGCCGCGCTCCGGCGCCCCCTCCCCAGCGCGCCCCCGGCCGCCCCGGCGCTCGTCGGCCATGGCCCGGGAGAACGGCGAGAGCAGCTCCTCGTGGAAAAAGCAGGCCGAAGACATCAAGAAGATCTTCGAGTTCAAGGAGACCCTCGGAACGTAAGTGGGGACCGGGGAGAAGGGGGTGGAGGTGGCCGCGGCGGGGGTTGCCCGGGCGGCTCTTGCCGCCACCACGGTGGCCGCCGCGGCGGCAGGAACCCGGCCCGTCGCCTGGTCCTCATCGCCCGGTTCTCGGCTCTCCGGAGCCCCCCGCGCCCGAGGCGTGGGTCTGCGCCCCCGGGTGGGCGCCGCTTCCGGGCGGGGGAGCGGGCGGCTCTGCTTTCGGAGAGCAGCCCACGAGGGCGGGCGACTTTGCACTTCCCCTGCCACCGCCGCCCTCTCCGCCGCTGTCCCCACGCGCGACTGTGGGCTGAGCATGGTGGATACTGCTGTTTACTGGCCGTGTGCGTTTACTCACAGTGTGCACGGGCGCACTGTGTGGACCAGACAGGATCACGAGAAAATCAGCTTCCACTCATTCCCATTTCTGTCCTTGCATCACGGGTACATATCGAATTGACATCCGCACGTACGAGGTGTAGGCGAGGCTGGGGCTGGCCACGCGATTACGGGAGGGGAGAATTTCGCAGTGTTCATGGTCACATGTGGGTACAGAGCCTCACCTGGGGGTCGCCCGTTTCACCCAGGCTCAAACGCACGCGCCCGGGTGCGTGCCTCGGGTGAGGGTCTGGGACTGTCGCCCTACGGGCGGTGCTCCCCGGGACTGCATTTAGTCCGATGCTGATGGCTGCGTCTCAAGGAAGCAGAAATAATCAGAAGTCGATGGCACAAATGCTCCAAGCATGTGCTGCTCAGCACGGCTGCTGTTCCCTTTCTGCCCACGAGTTGGGTTTTGTTTTTGTTGTGGAGCCTCCGAATAGGTAGGGAGGTTGATAGTGAAAGAGAACCAGGCACTGCCGAATGAGTCTCAAGTTCAAGTTATTTTCTTCCCTCATATGATCACGGCTGTGGATCGGCATCTTGTCAGCGTACATATAATCGCGGGCACGTGTGCCATGTGAAATGAACATTTTGCTGGGGTTCATGGAGGTGTTGATTCGGCAGGGAAGAAAAAGAGGAGGCGTTTCATGGGCTCCTTTAGGCTGTTGGGTGTTCTTCCTCCTTTCTCCCCCCACCTTGCTTTTGTGGTTGACTTGCTTTTCCAGAACCACCTTTTCAAACCCAGATTGTCTTCTGCCCCTGCGCAGGGTCTGCTGCAGCTGTTCCATTATTTCCCCTCACCCACAGATGTGCAGTGGGTCCCCCAGAGAGGAGTTGTGGAGGTGGCATCTCTCCCAGCCACACTTCTGATTCCCAGGAAAGCACGTGGTAAGGGCTGGAATAGGGTCTCCCGGCTACTGGCACTGCCTTCCAGGGAAGGTACTGACTTGCTGTCTTTGGTGGAATGAAAACAGAAAAGGACTTAGCTTTTTAATAAAGAAGGGTTTGGGGCTGCCTCTCAGTGAAGCTAGTTAAGGGGTTAGTTTTGGTCAAAAACAAAATTTAAATGAGGCTTATTTGGGTTTAGAGTTGCAACTCTGAGATGCTCAAGTTACTAAGAGACACCCTTTGCTTGTCATCCAGGGACCAGCTAAGTCATGATGTGCGGGTGCTTGTGTTTTCCTTTGCCTGGCTTATCCTCATCTGAGCCCCTCGCACTGGTCCCTCTCTGCCTGTGGCCTCTAGGTGGACTGATGCAGTGTCCCCTAACTGACTCCTGCTCCACAGGACAGGCCTGCAGCTGCACCTCTGCAGTGGCTGGGCTGCCCAGGCTCAGTGAGCTGTGGCTTGTTCAGGTGGCTCCTACGGTGGTAGCAGGCTGTTTGGGGATGACTGCGGTGGCTTCCACCTCTGAAGGATGGCAGGCATTTGTCTTCTGGTGCAGGAGTAGGGTTCCAACTGAGCAGCCTCTTGGACTCCGGCCATGTTCCCTGTGGCTCTGGGTATGAGTCTCTTTTAGGGTCCCAAAGCATTGCCTTCTGCCTTGGAAAGAATTCTTTGCTGCCCAAGAGTTTGAGGTTGCAGTGAGCTGTGACATCAGGGCACTCTACTGAGGGTGACATAGTGAGACTCTGTCTCAAAACAAACAAATTAAAAAAAGAACAAGAATTCTTTGCAAAGAAACTTTCTGTTGTCCTGCTGGCAGGGGATCCAGGAGAGTAAAAGACAAACAATGAAATGATCAAGATGTTTTCTGCCCAGTGATCTAACAGTTATAGCAATCGTAGATGGTATTCTGAAATATATACCAAGGACCATGCATTATTCTACCTGCTTTATGTGTATTAACTCATTTAAATCTCAGGGGAACCTTGTGATGTGGGGATTTACGATTATCCTCAATTTGTAGATGAGAAAACACAGGCCACAGAGAGATTAAGTGACCTGCCAAATGTTAGCTGGTAAGTGGTGGAACTGATATTCAAAGATAGGCAGAACAACTCTTGATTATCTCCATGGGGTTGACACACTTTGTAGATTTTGTAATGGCAGATGATTAATAATAATTTGACTTTAGTATTTGGAAAGCTAATTTTAATATTGTTGTAAAGAACACATAATTATGGGATAACCTGTATCTAAATATGTAAGCATTTCAAAGCTTTTGGATTGTCATTATCTTGTCTCTTTGGACTTTCTACAAGTGGTCCCAAGTTCAATGCATCTGTTTACTCTGGGCCAAGTCCAATTACTGTGGCCTGCTTCTTAATATGGAGGTCACTTCAGGTCCCTTCAGTGTAGGTTTTGAGTCTGAGCTCTTCTCTTGTTTGTAAAGAAATCTAACATAAATCAAAGGCATCAACAGTTACCCTTGGAGTTCATTTCCAAAGTACTCTGCAGTTCCAATCATTTTGTTTGTCACACCTTCACCATATGTCTTTAAGATCCTAAGGCAGGAAAGTCCTGGAAGAAGCAAGGCTGTCAACTTACAGTGTTAAAATGCTTCTAAAATAAAGTGTTATCCCCAAAGACAGGAAAGTGGGGAAAGAAAATAAAGCATTGTAAAGGGCCAAGTGGCACTCACTTTGCCGGACTTTGTGATCTGATCTTTGACTACCTTATCCAGATAGCCTCAGAGGGCAGACCATGTACTGTTGGAGGCTCTGGGCCAGGTCGTTTAGTCTGTGTGGTTTGAGGGACCTTGCTGGGGAGTGGGAGTGAAGCTTGGCCCAAGAGGTTGGAAAATGAGATTGAGGCAGCAAAGGACAGCGCAAGAGAAAGGACTTGGCTTTGTGGTTTGGCCCAGGCTGTCTGATGCACCTCTGAGTCAAGTCTTTGGAAGGAGGAAACTTTTTGACTCATAGGCTTCCATTTAGCCTCCTGTAAAAAGGAATCCCTGAACCTAACCATGTCTGTGAATAAGGTAGTGAGACTTTAATTATTGTTTATTAATCAACAGTGTTTTCAGATCCTTGGCATACTGTGAGAGCAAATAAATATTGTGTAGCAGCAAATGAGGAGTGGGGTGGCAGACCTTTTTGCTGGCATCTTCACTGAGCTTTTCAGGCCTTCCCTACTGTAGCCATCTTTCAGTGATTTCTGAAGCATTTGGAGAAGTATATGGGTGGGAAGAAAGCCTCAGTGTGACATCTAGGAAGCACCCCAGACTCAGGGAAGTCACTTTCACGATGTCCAGCCTGTGAAATGTGTGTGAACAGAGAAGGCCTGAGTACTTGGCTCAGCACGGATGAATCTCCCACCCCAACCTTCCTCACTTCTTCTGTTCTAGAAAATGGCCTGTCCTGTAAAATATATCCTCATCTCTGCAGGGTATGAATATGGGTTTCCATACGGATTGAACAACTGAAGTTGAGGCCGTTCCTATCTGTAGCTTGCTGGGCCAGGCATTGTGGAGGATGTGGGCCTGGGTCTGCCACGAAGGGGGTGTGTGGCCCGTGGGTTGCCTGACCACTGCCCACGTTACGTTCTCCGTGTCTCAGCTTCCTCATCTCTAAAATCATGGGGAGAGGGGTAGACCAGGAAGACTAGGAGGTTTCCAAGTGCCCTTATAACCCTAAGAGTTGGCTCCCTGGGTGAGGAGGGCCCTTGCTTTTTGTTCCTTGGGCTTTTCTCGTGTGGCTCCGTGCAGCTCATTTCTGTGTGGAGGGACATTTTTATGTCTGAGCTAGTAGCAGAGTAAACAGCTCAGGACCAGCAACCTGATCTCACTTAATGTCAATAGCAGTGGGTCCTTTTTTTTTTTTTTCATTAACTGAGTGCCTCCGGGTGCGGCTTTAGGAAGAGGATAAATAGAGATTTCTCCAGGTCAAGCACCGTCTTTCCCACTCATCTCATACTTATGCTACTTATTCTGAAATTGCTCAATAAATACACCTGTTGGGGACGCAGATGATTGATTTTTCTGAAAGGCCAGGTGGAAAATAGGCTCAGTGTTTCTAATTTGTGAGTGTGTGTGTGTGTGTGTGTTGCGGGGTAGAGTGCAGAGCCCCTTGAGGTGGGATGATCTCATACGCGTTTTTCTGGAGTTACTCAGAATTGTAGAGTCTCTGAGAAGCATTTGAAAGAATATTACCAAGAGAAAAAGAGAGGCGGGCAGCCCCTAGATTTCTCCCCGAGTGTATTCTGGCTTCATTCTTTCTTACCGGTTTGAATTTCTCAGTCCTTGTGTTTTGAGGCATGATATAAATTCAGTCTCTCATAGGTTTAAAAATATCTATTGAACACCTGCTGTATTGTGGGGACCAAGAACATGGCGGTGAACAGGCGTACAGGAGTGGCCGCTCTCCTGGGGCTACAGAAAACACAGGAGAGGAAGAAGCAAAATGGAGAGTGTGTTATAGAATATTCAGGCCAGGGAGAGGCAGAATGTGGGGAGAGGGGATTGGTTGGGGTGGGGGGATGGCAGGGCCTATGCTGACAAGCTCCTATTTGAATAGCTGAGTCCTGGGGCTATCTGAAAGTAGAATGTTCCAGTAAGAGGAAACAGTGCAGGCAAGTGCCTGAGGGGAGAGCCTGCCTGGCATTTGGGAGGCCCAGCAACTTCCCGGAGGCTGGTGTAGCTAGAACTGTGAGTTCCAGGGGCAGAGGCGGCAGAGGCC